ATCTCTCTTCTCCATTTATAAACCAATTCATACATACTGGTGCTTAGAGGGCTACCAGCCCATAGACCAGAGCTGCCAGGCAGCTCTCTTGGTCAAGGTCACCTGTGACACACCCCTACCCTTAGCAGGGAAAAGGGCTCAACAGTCTGTTTTCAGTTATAGCAAGAACAGGTGGTTCAGGGAATTCTCTCCCCCATCCTCCAATGAGCTTGGGTGAGTGGACAGATCCCAAAGGATGGTGGGACAGTGGAGGCCATGGAGAGAGAAGAGGAGCATGAGGAAGCAGCCTGGGCTCAGGAAGTGCCCTAACACTTAGGAAGGGAGAGGGCTGAGAACATCGTTCTCAATCCTGGTTGACATTTTCTTGGCCACACTGAGTGATGCCCTGGGAACTGTTCCAACACAGAGGCGAGTTTGCTGCTGGAGGGTGATTTTGGATCCAGTCTCTAGCTCAATTTGTATAGCTTTAGAAAATATTAAATGCCTGGAGAAATATTTTGAATAGGGATCATTTTCATACTGTGTGGTAATTAAGACTTTTGGTTACAAGGAGCTCAACTACCTAAACCTAAAGAGGGATTTACTATAGGGATAAAGAAATGCCACCTAAGATCAGACAGTGGCCAGGCCTCTGGAGTGGTTAGAAAGAGTGACTGATGAGGGTTACTCGGCAGGTCTCCTCTGCCCGTTCCTGACTCCGCCTCTCCCTACACGCCCTGTCCTCTTCTTTCTCAGAGTAGCTATGATTGTGTTGTGGTGCCTGATCTTCCACGTCACAGGCCCAGACCTACAGAGAGATGGGAGCAGCTCCTTTGGTCCTAATTTGAAATTCTTAAGAAAGGGATGCCTATGTCAATCCTGGATTAACTTCCCATCCTTGGGCTTGTCAATTATGAGCATTTCCACAATTCAGTTATATGAACAGGCTCATCTTGATCCTACTGTGTAGACAAGGTTGGAGAGAAGAGACAGTCTCACTGGAGTCTGTGTCAATGCACCATCTCTAGCAGGGACCTGCCCTGATGTATCTCCAGCAGCATCCCCAACCCCCAGGAGAGCAAGCTCCTTGTGAGGATTGCTGCTGAGAAGCATTTGTTCCTCATTATAGTGTCTCTTTGTTGAGTGGCTTTGGTAGTTACCCTGGGCTTCCAGTACTTCAAGAAGATCACTATTAGCAGAGCAGCTCCAGCTGAAGCCAATTGCGTCCAGGCAGCAGAAACTTAGCCACAATTTGGCTGGGAATCTATCTGCTTCTGGAGTGGTCATAAAATTTGCCCATAAGGCAACTCATTTCTGCTCCTGTTGTGTTTTTAGAAACAGTCATAGAAATGCACATCACTATTACCAGCTTGTAAACGAAAATGTGACCTCCCACCACAGAGTGCTTTTAGAATTAATCCTACATTTTGCCATATGTTAAATAAGGTGAACAGTGAAGAAGACCTTGAGAATACAGCCTTTCTCTTGCCATGAACAGTTATTTATACTTAAGCTTGTATTCTGGAAGGAAAACATATCTACTTTACAAAAATTGTTGAGGATACAAACTATTTAAAAGAAGATCAATCAATGTATTTATTCACTCGTTTTTTCATTCATTCAAAGGACATTTGCTAAATGCCCTGATGTGCCAGAAACATGGGGACAGAGAATGAGAATATAAGATAAAGAGTCCAGCTGGAAGCAAACCCTAACAGGATTTCCTCAGTTTATATATCTTTGACTCAGCCTGTGCAGGGGATCCTTGCTCCAGAGTCACCATGTATGGTTGCCTGGGCTGTGCACTGCACAAGGATGCTGGGGGTGAGTGGGGTTGAATCTTGTTATCTGACCCTGCATCCTGGTACTGACCCACATCTGCAGAGGGGGATGCCTTTCCTGGTAGGTGAGTGGTGAATGCGTGGCCACAGACTTTATTGTAGGGTCTAGGACGTGGATAAGAGTGATGGAGGCACCGATCCTACCAGGACTTTGGCAACAGGTGTAAACTGGGACTGTCCTGGGCAAATCAAGGCATTGAGTCACCCACTGACAAAAGGAGAGCTGTGCCCTTAGGGCCTGTTTCGGTGACCAAGCATGACTCCCACTTTGCTGCTCTCTAGCCTTCTCGGGACAGAACTCTCTGTTCTCCTTCTCCATTGGCCATGGCCCCCTCGAATCCCTAGCACCCTTGGATCTTGCCCAAAGATTGGTCAGAGAGACAGCAGGGAGAGATGCAGAACCAAGTGGGTGGGGCAGGCAGAAGGAAGCTGGGAGGAGGGTGAACAGTGCCTCACTGAGCGGGAGTTGTTTTTGGCTAAATGGGAATCTTGGTTGTTGTTGCTCCTGTCTTTGGAGACCACATTTCTCAGGATGCCGTGGATAGAGGGGTCAAATAGTCATAGAATGTATTTTTAGATTTTTTTTTTAACTGCATTTTTGCTTCTTTTCTGTTGCCACTGCCTTCATTAATCCTTGATTTGCATGTATGGCACCACCATAACCTAAGTCACCTTGAGGGAGCAGGTGCCACATTCCAGGCCCAGCGAAACACTGCATCATTTCCAACCCTCATGGCAAGCCTGACAGGGGAGGGACTGTGTGAGGCTGAAAGGAGGTGTTTTGTTTGTCCCTCTGCACTTTGCCAGCTGTTGTGCTTAGCTATTCCTAAGAGACCAACTTAAGGGCAGGAAGGACATCCAGCTCATCTTGGGCTGCTGTGAAGCTCAGCCCAGGGCTGACTCAGAGTGGATTTTCAGTCAGTATCTGTCGAGTGACAGTGGTATGTTGGCAAAGGCACCGGGGAAGAGGATTTACCACTGACTGCATATCTTTTTATCCTGTTCCAATTTCCTGTTATGCCTCTGTGTCACCTAATGGATGAATTTAGTTCCACTGCATTTTTAATGAGAAGAACTTGTGTTCATTTACCGCACAGTTTGTCCTCATCTACCCCAAATTATTGAAAGTCTCTGTAGCAGCTAATGTCCAATAAGGAAAGGATGATCTCTCTAGAGTCTGGAACATTTTAGGTCTCTGCCAAAGGAATGCATCTTCCCGGTGAGTTCAGCCCATGGGAAGGATGTCTCACCTCGCTTCAGAAGAGCCTTACTGGCTGGGCAAACTGGCAGGGTTGGTGCTGAGGCGCTGAGGCCAACTCAGGGCTCCTGTGGGTTATGAACTGTTTGAGAAGCTGAATACAGTTTCCAGATTTCTGAAACTCAGTCTCATAAGTCCCATGGACTGAAGCTAGATTCCATGAGGGCAGGGGTCTGTTCTGTCCTATCACAGAGCCAGCTTGTTGGTGAAGAGACAATAAACACCAGGGATAAAACATTAAACTAGTTTCTTTCTTTCTTTTTTTTTTTCTTTTTTTTTTGAGATGGAGTCTGGCTCTGTTGCCCAGGTTGGAGTGCAGTGGCGCCATCTCAGCTCACTGCAACCTCCACCTCCTGGGTTCACACCATTCTCCTGCCTCAGCCTCCCGAGTAGCTGGGATTACAGGCGCCCGCTAATATACCCAGCTAATTTTTGTATTTTAGTAGAGATGGGCATTTACCATGTTGCCCAGGCTGGTCTTGAACTCCTGACCTCAAGTGATCCGCCCACCTCACCCTCCCGAAGTGCTGGGATTACAGGCGTGAGCCACTGCGCTGGTCCACATCAAACTAGTTTCTACACAAGCGACTGAGATGATGAAAACAGTCTGAAAATAAGACTTGAAGGTATCCTTTGTGTGTCTATTTAAGTTAACAATGCCAGTTTCCATAAGCAGGCTCAATGAAATCCTTCCTTCCTGTCCACATCATCGTGCTTATCAGGGAGAATGTGTGCAAGTGTGGCTATGCCCAGAGCCAGCACATGGAAGGCACCCAGATCAACCAAAGCGAGAAATGGAACTACAAGAAACACACCAAGGAATTTCCTACGGACGCCTTTGGGGATATTCAGTTTGAGACACTGGGGAAGAAAGGGAAGGTAAGCAGTGGTTTTCTGCTTTGGTAGCTAATTCATAGGCCAAAATGACCTGGGCTACCTTGATTTACTTGGAATTGTCTAATAAGATGGAGGCAGGAGAGATGGTTAGTGAACACCAAAAAAGACTGCAGAAAAACAGACATCTTGTAAAAGCCAGACAGCTGTTATTAGGCTATGCTCAACAGGAAAACTCAACAGGTAAGGACTGGATTATCACCTAGCCTCCTGTGTCCACACACAAAGCAGGCATCCATGCCACACCCATCTTGAGCCCCATTGCTACCCAGGGCCCCATGAAAGCTTTTGTGAACCCTACTGTTTAGCTCTGTGTACTCTTGAGGCACATATGGCCCTGAATATGCATTCCCTCCATACTCACTGTGCAAGCTTTCCAGCAAGGTTTTGCAAAGGTGTTTAATGATGGGAAACAGCCTCTCCTGCATCCTCTGTGCCCCCAGTCTCAATGAAAGCACTGTCCACAGGCTGCTCCTGCAGGGCCTTGGCCTCTCATCTCCCAAACCCCCATGGCATCCCTGGGAGATGACCCAGCCTCATCCACTGCTGACTCTCCCCAGGGCCTCTGCCCCGGAATGGGCCGATGCCCTCTCTTGCTGCCCGCAGCTCTGCTCACCTCCCTGTGGCCTCAGCAGGGCTGCTGCAGGACTCCCTAAATGCAAAGCCCACCCTGTTCTTACCCTGCTTCAAACACCTCAAGGCACCCCTCTGCCTTCAGGACAAAGTCCCAAGTTCTCCACGTGGCCTATGGGGCTTTTCCGGGCCCCTGCAGCGCCCCTGCTCTCCCCACAACTCTGCTTTCCTTCTGTGAACCCTGAATATCGGAGACAGGTCTCAGTTAATTTAGAAAGTTTATTTTGTCAAGGTTGAGGACGCACGCCCCTGGCACAGCCTCAGGAAGTCCCGACAACACATGCCCAAGGTGGTCAGAGCACAGCTTGGCTTTATACGTTTTAGGGAGACATGAGACATTAATCAACATATGTAAGATGAACGCTGGTTCCTTCTGGAAAGGTGGGACAACTCACCAGGCAAAGGCGGGACAACTCGAAACGGGACGGGGCTTCCAGGTCATGAGTAGACAAGAGACAAACGGTTGCATTCTTCTGAGTTTCTGATTAGCCTCTCCAAAGGAGGCAATCACATATGCATTCATCTCTGCGAGCAGAGGGGTGACTTTGAATAGAGTGGGAGGCAGGTTTGTCCCAAGCAGTTCCTAGCTTGAATTTTCGGGCCCCAAGATTTATTTTCCTTTCACACTTCCATTCCTCGTGGGTCCTTGGCACGGCCCCCGCCTGGGACTCCCAGTGCCACGATCCCTGCTGCCCCCACCACGCCCCTCTTCTAGAAGCAGGCAAGCGTGGGCGGGGTGTTGGCGCGGATGCTAAACACCGACCTCAGGAGAACACAGGCTTATCTTGATGCTTCTGCTCCTCCCCCCATAGTATATCCGTCTGTCCTGCGACACGGACGCAGAAATCCTCTACGAGCTGCTGACCCAGCACTGGCACCTGAAAACACCCAACCTGGTCATTTCCGTGACCGGGGGCGCCAAGAACTTCGCCCTGAAGCCGCGCATGCGCAAGATCTTCAGCCGGCTCATCTACATCGCGCAGTCCAAAGGTGGGGGTGGGAGCAGCGATCCGGTTCTTCCATTCGGGCTGCACCAAGTTTGGGGAGCAGAGGAGGCAGTTCCCGTGTGCAATTCCGGAGAATCCGGGTGCTGCTAGAACCATCTGATTAATCGTTATTTTATTGAAAGCAATATCCTCGGCTGGGCGCGGTGGCTCAAGCCTGTAATCCCAGCACTTTGGGAGGCCGAGACGGGCGGATCACGAGGTCAGGAGATCGAGACCATCCTGGCTAACACGGTGAAACACCGTCTCTACTAAAAAAATACAAAAAAAAAGCTAGCCGGGCGAAGTGGCGGGCGCCTGTAGTCCCAGCTGCTCGGGAGGCTGAGGCAGGAGAATGGCGGGAACCCGGGAGGCGGAGCTTGCAGTGAGCTGAGATCCGGCCACTGCACTCCAGCCTGGGCAACAGAGCGAGACTCCGTCTCAAAAAAAAAAAAAAAAAAAAAAGAAAGCAATATCCTCAAATGAATGGACGGGGAGCTCTGGCAGATAGTGGGGGAGCGTCACAAAGTAACTCTAAATCAGCGTTAAGGTGCTTCCTTAGGGGAATTTTTTAAATCTTGTAAGATTTTCATTTTGTTATTAACACACGAAAAATTTTCCCCAGAGTTTCGGTTCTGGCGAATTGAAAAGGACAGTTGTAATTTGCTTGGTCTGTAATTGTGAGATCGGTGATGCACTTTTGAAAGTAGTGACGGTGCCTGAGAAATTGTAAGCACCCTGTGTCTGATTGAGGTCAAAGCAACTAAGGCTGTGTTACTTGAAACACTTTCTTTCTTTTTAACTTTATATTTTAAAAAGTTTTGAATCTACAAAAATGTTGCAAAAATAATGCAATGAACATCTGTTCATTCTTCACCTAGATTCACCAATTGTTAACATTTTCCCACATTTGTCTCATCTTGTTCCATAAATATCTACGTATGATTTTGGGGGGAACTGTTGAATGCAGGTTGCAGGAATCATGATCCTTAATTCCCTGAGCAGATCAACATGCCCCTCCTGAGAACAGGGTTTTTTTTCACATAGCCCAATATAATTTTCAAACCTGAACAGTTACCATGGACCAATACTGCTATCTCACAGTTTACACTCACATTTTGCTAATTATCTCAACAAAGTCCTTTAGAGCAAACATTATTTTTTCTCAATTTGTATTTCAAATCGATTTAGCTTTGCTTTTTTTTTTTTTTTTTTTTTTTTTTCTTACATCCATCTGGAACTGGTTCTTAGCCTTCCCTTGTCTTGCATTACATTTTTTGAAGAGTATAGGCCAATTGCTTTGTAGACTGTCTCTCAATGTGGAATTAGTTGATGTTTGTTCATGATTAGATTCAGTTTATCCAACCTTAACATTTAAAAACCTCTTTTGGCCGGGTACAGTGGCTCAAGCCTGTAATCCCAGCACTTTGGGAGGCCGAGACGGGCGGATCACGAGGTCAGGAGATCGAGACCATCCTGGCTAACATGGTGAAACCCCGTCTCTACTAAAAAAATACAAAAAACTAGCCGGGCGAGGTGGCGGGCGCCTGTAGTCCCAGCTACTCGGGAGGCTGAGGCAGGAGAATGGCGGGAACCCGGGAGGCGGAGCTTGCAGTGAGCTGAGATCCGGCCACTGCACTCCAGCCTGGGCAACAGAGCGAGACTCCGTCTCAAACAAACAAACAAAAAAACCAAAAACTTCTTTTATGCAGAATTAATATTGACTGATAGAACTAAGGAAACGTGTCCTAATCTAGATGTGGGCTTTTTTTGTTGTTGTTGTCAGGAAGAAACTCAGATGTTTTGTTTTGTTTTTCCCATTTATTTTTCTCAGTTTCCTGACCAACCAGAGGGGACACTGTGGGTTGTCACTTTGATACAAAATTGAGCAACTCAGCTTCCTTGCTACTAAATCCTGAACACACCTTGTTCATTCACCAAACAGATACTTACTGGATGCCTATAATGTGCTAGAAATTGTTTTATGTGCTAGAATACAGCAGAACAAAACGGACAAAAAAAATCCCTGGGCTGGGACGCCTATTTCTATGTAGATGAAGTGAAGCGATTGAAGAAGTTGAATAGTTTCATTGTTGCTGGTTGTCCACTTGGAGTGCTACCTTCATTTCCCATTGTCTCGTTTTAAAAGGGAACGTTAAATGGCTGAAATGGATGTGAAGTCAATCACTGTAAGCATGGGTTTTGCAAAAGAGAAAAGGATTGCCCAGTGAGGAGATGGGAGAACAGTTGTCAAATCTGCTTCCTCAAAGATAGGGATTAGGGATATTTAAGGAGTGAAGAGGCGGTTGTTCTATGGCGTGGGGAAAGGTGATAGGCAGTGGAGAAGGAATGAGGTAATTGGTGGTTTGTGCAGGTGTAGTCAGGGTTCATGGCTCTTCATAGGACACCTGTTCAGAAAATGGCAGTGTTAGCGTGATCTGAGGGAGGAGTTTTGGCCCTCTGACATTGAAAGGTCATCTCTTGGGCATATGTGCACGCCCAGTTGAAGAGTCAACGGTCTCAGCTGTTTTGAACTGGATAAGAGCAGCTCCCTAGTTCCTGAAAAACAACTTTAGCAACTGTTATCATAGTGACGTATATGTCAGAGATGTTATCTAGAAGGAAACTAGTGGTGATTTAGTTATATATTGTTTGTCTACATGACTTTTAGCTACATAGATTTTAAAATCAACTAGATGGAAGCAGTTAAAAGCAAGCAAGGCAGGTGAAGTTTGGCGGGCTTGATTAGGTTAGCCCTCGGTGTCAAAATCTGTCTAGAGGAAGGAGACCGTGTGCTGAGAGGCTGGATTTATGCCCTGTAAGAACTGGTTAAAAGAAGTAGGTGTAAAACTTCTAAGGATCACATCATACTTACCTGAAAATATTGGAAGGACTTTGATGTGGAGATGACTAAAATTGTTCCTCATTGCTGAAGACTGTAGTAAAATTAGAGAATGGAAATAGTCAACAAAGGGACTTTCTAACGATTGGAGGAGGGGGCTGCCTCTCAGCTCCTGACGCTTTCTTACAAGAGCTAATCCAGAGAGGCCAGTGACCGCTCTGAGGGTAGATTCGTACGTGGGCAGCATATTATACTAGGATCATTTCCAACTTTAGATTCTAGTTTTATGCTAAATAATATTTTTGTAGGTATAGTATTTATTCTACTTTGCCCCTCCCCAATAAAACCCTGTATAACCCTTAGCATTGAGAAGATAATCAGATCTAAACCTTAAAAAGGCCAGCATACAGAATTGTGTTTTATAAAGCAAAGTTATTGACACAAAGGCCATCCAAGGAAGATTCACTAGAATCCAACCAATATGGGGGTCCAGGAGCAGAGTGCCCGGCTTACCATGGTGGTTGCCTAACTTGTTTAGAGGCTCTGGTTAGACATTCATTGTCCATGGGAGTCCTCTAGAGACTGGTTAAAGATGCAGACAGATTCCCTGGACCCACCTCCCAGAGAGCCTGATGAGGTAGATCTGGAATAGGGTCAATAATCTGTTTTTTTGTTTGTTTGTTTGTTTTGTTTTGTTTTGAGATGGAGTCTCACTCTGTTGCCCAGACTGGAGTGCAGTGGTATGATCTCTGCTCACTGAAACCTCCGTCTCCCGGGTTCAAGCAATTCTCCTGCCTCAGCCTCCTGAGTAGCTGGGATTACGGGCGCCCACCACCACGCCTGGCTAAGTTTTGTATTTTTAGTAGAGATGGAGTTTCACCATCTTGGCCAGGCTGGTCATGAACTCCTGACCTCGTGATCCACTCGCCTCGGCCTCCCAGAGTTCTGGGATTACAAACGTGAGCCACTGCGCCTGGCCAAGAATCTGTATTTTTAAGTGAACACTTCTCAGCAGCACTGTCTGAGGTCCCCTCTTCTTCCTTGCCATACAACATAGCTGCCAGTGCTGTGTCCTGACGCCTACAGGGATGGGGACTTTATTTTAGGGGTCTGTGAGTCCAAAATGGAAACTTTGCCCAGTGCCAGTTGACCATTTACTGTTCCTATGTGTTGACAGGTGCTTGGATTCTCACGGGAGGCACCCATTATGGCCTGATGAAGTACATCGGGGAGGTGGTGAGAGATAACACCATCAGCAGGAGTTCAGAGGAGAATATTGTGGCCATTGGTGTGGCAGCTTGGGGCATGGTCTCCAACCGGGACACCCTCATCAGGAATTGTGATGCTGAGGTACGGGTGGGACAGGAGGAGGTCTGCTAGGTCACATGGAAGAAAGACCATGGCATGAGCCTGTGGCCTGAACCCTGGGGCTCTGTGATGGAGCCAGACCATGGGGAAGTCTGCCTTGCAAGGAGTGTCTTTGGGACCTTAAAGGAATTGAAAACAAGGATGACGTACATAATTAACTGCTGGGAAAGAGTGAACAATGAATATTGCTTTGTTCATTAAGATGTGTTCTCAGCAATCTCATATCACAGTCAGGTTCTTTATTCTTTATAACCAAGGCTTACATCCATTTCAGGAGGGCTCAAGCCCAACCGCAGTATCTTGATTGCTTGGCTACACTCAGAGGAATACAAATCAATGGATATTGTCCTTGGTTAATTTGGCATTAAGAAGGCTGTGAGACAACCCCCAGCCTCCACCCCGCAAATGTTTCCTGTGAACATATTTAGAGAATAATGAGCCTTTCATGTTAAAAATACAAGGTAGACATATGGGGTTTTGTATCAAGTGTAGCATTTTGAAAACAACATTTCTAGTAGTTGAGGACCTTCTTGAGCAACAGGTGTTCTCTGCCCAGAAGCTTTGGGCCAAATGTTCAGATATCCACATTTAAGCTACACCTTCTCCCATCTGGGCTCCTTAGAAGCAGCAAATGTTAAGGATTTTTGGAATTACTGTGATTCTTCTTTTAGAATTATTTTATTTTTGTGTCTTGGTTACCATTTTTGAGATAT